TGCTGTTTGGATATGGAGCCAGAAAACAAGATGAAGACTTTCTCCTGGGTTCATTCTGATCTAAGAAAACAGGGACAGCTGCTAGGTGTTTCTCCAGAATGTCTTTGTGACAGCATCCTGGTCTCAGGTTTGCTTGTTGAGTTTGAAACCCTTGGGAAGGTTTGCTTTACCACACTTCCTGTAGTGGAGATGGGGAGAAACTGATCTGCCCTTGGGTACTAGGCATACCATATTTACAAAGGGACTGACCAAGCACATGTTAAATGCTACTGATTAAAAGAACAGACCTTAAAAGGAGCTCTTGAAAGACTTCTAGATTCTTTTTTTTTTTTTTAATTCTATTTTTATTTAATGTGTATGGGTGTATTGCTCACATGTAGGTAGGTGCACCCGTGTCATGCAATAGATGTGGAACTCAGAAGAGGGTGTTGGATCCCCCAGAACTGTAGTTACAGACAGTTGTTAGCCACTATGTGGGTGCTGGGACTCGAACCTGGGTCCTCTGCCAGAGCAGACAGTGCTCTTAACCACTGAGCCATCTCTCCAGTCCTAGACTTCTAGATTCTTTATTACTTATGCTTAGCTTTTCTTAATAAGCATGCTCAAATCATAGAAACATTTAAGTGCTCTTAACAAAGATTCTCTTCTGTGATTTAATGTTTAGTTCCTTTAGGTAGCTAACAATATAGATAGTAATGTGGTTAATAATGCTAGAGTAATGTACCATTTGTTTGAAATGGTAAAGGGATAGGGATAGTATATTTCTTTAAAATTTTTATTTATTACTTATTTTTATTTTATGCATATGAGCATGTTCCCTGCATGTATGTAAGTGTACCCTACAGAGGCCCAAAGAAGGAGTGCAATGCCTGCAGAGGCCAGAAGAGGGCATTGGATCCCCTGGAGCTGGAGTTACAGATAGCAGTGAGCTGCCATATGGGTGCTAGGAGCTGAACCCAGGACCTCTATAAGAGCAGCCAGTACTCTTATTTGCTGAGCCATCTCTCCAGCCCCTGGATAATGTATTTCTAACAATTCGTTACTGCAGTTAGTGAGGAGCAGTAAGAATAGCTGGTGTCAGTTACAGAATGTCCAAGAGCAGATAAGAACCTGGCTTTGTTGTAGTTTTGTCATTCATTTTAAATGAAAGTTAAAATTTGAGATGTATCTCACTTCTTAAAATATTTATTTTTATTTTTCAATTATGTGTATATGTCTGTGGGTGTCTGTGTGCACATGAGTGCAGGTGCCTGCAGAGGACAGAGGCTTTGGATTCTCCTGGAGTAGTAGGTATTATAGGTAGTTGCAAGCCTCTGATATGAGTGCTGGGAATAGAACTTCAGTCCTTGGCAAGAGCAGTCAGTACTCACTCTTAATGGCTGAGCCATTAAGCCAGCAAACCTCACACCCCTTTCAAGATTTTATTTTATGTGTATGTATATGGGCTTGAGTGTATGTTTGTGTACCACATGCATGCAGATGCCCATGGAGTCCAGTAAAGGACATTAGATGCTCGGGAATTGGGGTAACAGGTTGTTGCAAGCCTGATGTGGGTGCTGGAAACTAAACCTGGGTGGTACTCAGCAAGAGCAGCAACCATTGAGGCATCTCTCTAAGCCCCTGTATCTTGTTTGAAGAAATACTTTATTATTTTTATTTTATGTGTATGAATGTATTCCTTGCATGTGTGTAATTGCACCTGTGTTGTGCAGTGCTCGTGGAGGTTAAAAGAAGGAGTCAGATCCCCGGGAACTGGGGTTTTGGGTGATTGTTAGCCGCCATGTGGGTGCTGGGAACCAAACTCGGGTCCTCTGGAACAGCAGCCAGGGCTCTTAACCACCGAGTCCTCTCTCCAGCCCCCTTGTATTTCATTTTTAACAGTGTGATTAGCTGTTTAGAGCTGTTTAGAGGTAGTGAGTAGCCAAAGGAGGGTGTTCTTAGTTACTAGTAGTTATAGTTCTGTACTTGGAAGTAAATGCACATTTAGAAGACCTTACTCTCAAGGGTCTGTATATACTTATTTGTATGTTATTTAAAAATAAAGGAGGCTGTTTCATATAGAGTCCCAGAGAGACTGTCTTTATGTTTACAGAAGTGTAGTCAAGTAAACACTGAGCACTACTGCTGATTTTTATGGGAACCTAGCCATCTGTGCTGGATAGCTTTAGTGTCAACTTGACACACCTGGGTTGAGGGAGCCTCAACTGGGGAATTGCCTCTATTGGACTGGCCTGTGGCAATGTTTGAAGGGCATCTTCTTGATGAGTGATGTGGGAGGGCCCAGCCCACTGTGGGTGGTGCCACCCCTGGGCAGGTGGGCCTGCGTTGCATAAGATAGCAGGCTGAGCAGGGTCCAGGAGAGCAAGCCAGTAAGCAGTGTTCCTCCATGGCCTGTGCTCCAGCTCCTGCTTCCAGGTTCCTGCCCTGAGTTCCTTCCTTGGGCTCCCTAATGAACTGTGACCTGCGAGATGTAAGACAAATAAACCCTTTCCTCCCCAAGTTGGTAGTGGTCAGAGTGTTTTGTCACAGCAATGGAGAGACAAACTAGGACTCCATCTTTCCCTTGAATTTTAAAAATTCTAGTGGTAGCTTATTTTTTATTTATGATTTATGTGCTTATGACATAAAAATATTGGAAACCTTTTTCCCCCAACTGAAATATCTTATTTAGTCATAGTTTATATGCTTAGTGACAGGTATGCACATAAGTGTATATGTTTGAATGTACACACACACGAGTTAGTTTCTGTGGTCGCTCTTAAAAATCTCGTCAAGTGGTGAGGTTAAAACATGCATATTCTTTTAACAAGAGGAATTTCACTTTTAGAAAAGTGCAGTGAAAGTATGTTCTTGACTGAAATCACCAGTGTTCTTCCTTTAGATGTGGGCTTGGAGGTAGAAGGCAGGATCTGGGTCAGGGTTGATGGGATGAAGTCATGAAGGCCAGCCCACTCATTAGGGTGACAGAGCTCAGATCTGCTGAGGTCAGACATTTTCTGAACTCTATTCAATTCATGATGCTACTGTGGGTTAATGCCTTCATCTTTCTCCTCTAAGAAAGATGATTCATGTTCCTATATGCTGTGGTTCTCAGCCAGACAATTTCTCACATAACAGATATGTGGAGATATTTGGGGTATTTTTGCTTGTCATGATCCCCAAGACCTGTTTGCCTTTGAGTCTGGGGAAGTGGGCATGTCTGATGCTTTGTAGCACGAGGAACAGTCACACAGAATGACCAGTGTCCAGCTTCCAGAAACACCTTCTGCAGAAACATGGAGAAGACACCATGAGAATGACTTGCAGCAGTGCCTGTGGCAGCACTGTGGGGCGAACTCCTGGCTCACAGATAGCATGCAGTGTCCTGTTTGCTAGTGACAGAGCAATGGGGAGAGCACGCAGTGGCTCACAGATACCAGGCAGTGTCCTACTTTGCTAGTAGGGGAAGAGGATTTTCTTTTTCCCAGATGGCATTTGGCAGTGTGATAGAACCATTTTATATATCTGTTTACATTTGTGAAGTATATCAAGTCTCTTGAAAGAGTATGGTGGTGACTGGGCGTGGTGGTGCACACCTGTAGTCCCAGCACTTGGAAGGCAGAGGCAGGCGGATCTCTGTGAGTTCAAGGCCAGCCTGGTCTACATAGTGAGTTCCAGGACAGCTGGGGCTACAGGGAGACCCTGTCTCAAAAAAGACCAAAAAAAAAAAAACCAAAAAAGAGTATGGTGGTAACTTCTAAAACAGTATGACTTTTATAGCTACCAGTGACCTTCATGATTTCTGCTCATTTTTGCCATCAGAAGAATATTTCTAGAAGAATAAAAAGCACATGAAATATAGCAAATGTGATAAATGACACTTGGTGTAAAGCTATTCAGCTTTACAAAGCTGTTTCCTGCTTTGAGGCCAGTTGGGAAGGCTTACTTTCCTGCCTTCCCTGCTGGAGCTTATGGAAAGAGAGAAAAGAGGGGGGAGGTGCTCTGTTGCTTGTTTCTGTGATTTGTGTTCCTACAATTTACCCTCTCCCTCCTTTTCTTCCCTCCCTCCCAAAATATTAAGTAACTTTAGAGGGAATTATTTTCTTCTGTGGTAGTTAACATGGTTTACAATTCTATACAGCCTAAATAGGATGTAGAAAAAGAAGGTCCAGCTACATCTCGATGAGGTCATTAAGTAGTTGACGTTGCTGAACTATGAAGGTTATACACAGGACACTTTGTGTTTGTGTGTGTGTGTGTGTGTGTGTGTGTGTGTGTGTGTGTTCGAAAGACACATTGTTTTATGAGAAAATAGATACCCACAAGTATCAGGAAAAGGCAGTGGGGCAGAGCTGGAAAGCATTGTGGAGCCCAGCACGGTTCAAGGGATTAGGGAGCCATACACCAAAGAAAGCCACAGTGGTGGAAGGCAAAACAGTGTCTATCCTAGTGCCCCAAACACTAAGGACTCAAGATATTATAATATGTCAAAGGGAAAGCTGTGAACAGCTTTGACTGGTTGAGACTTAAATTTTTGGATAATACAAAATAGCAGTGAGAAACACCAAACAGGGGCCAGATTTTTTCTTAACACAAGAGGCCAAGATCAGGAAAACCAGGAGTGCTTAGAATGTACCAATCTCTGCTATTTAGCACATGAGGCAGGGTGGTGTGGCCATTTGAGCATGCGAGGCATTTTCTTGCAGGCAGTTTTGACAAAGAACTTGGAAGAAATGTGTGTATTCTGCCAACTTACTTTAAAAAATCATTAGTCCCTCAGAAGTTTACTTCTATTCAAAATTAAGGTTATTTGAATATGGCATTGAGTTTAGGCAGGAGCTTTCATTTTCAAAGTCTTCACTTTGTATAGAGTACTTTGAAAACTTAAGTAAAACCTGTTTTTGAAATTACTATTGAATCAGACGAGTGGGAAAAGAGGTGTTCAGGGTGGGAAAAGAGGCATTCGGCCAAGTGCTTTCTTCTTTGATAATGACATTTTGCATTTCTCTTGCTCCAAACAGAGGCAAAGCATGGGGGACACAAGAACGGAAGGAAAGGAGGAATTTCTGGAAGCTCCTTTTTCACGTGGTTCATGGTCATTGCACTACTGGGAGTCTGGACATCTGTGGCTGTCGTGTGGTTTGACCTTGTTGATTATGAGGAGGTTCTAGGTAAGAATTTTTATACAGTTTCCCTAGTGAGTAAACTGGTAAGTGATACCCCTTGGTAACTCCAAGGCTTGTTGTCATCTCTCTGGTACTATTACTTGCTGTAGCTTTCAGTGACTCTTAGAGTGAAAGTAAAGGGCCTGTCACTGGGACTATCGCTGAGTAATGACTTCTGAGTTTTAAATATTTATACATAGGCTTTATATCATTGTGAGATATGGAAGCTTCTATCAAAATGAATTTTGTTGAAGTCATTTTCACTATTTTCTCTTCTCTTTACTTTTTATCCAATTTTTTAAAAGTTTTCAAAATTCTAGTTCATGAACTACTGAATTTAAGGACCCTTTAAATGTAGTGTAACATTTCCTTTTGGGGTTGGATTTGAGATAGCATCTCATTCTATATCCCAGGCAAGTCAGGAAAGTTAGGATACACCTCCTGCGTCAGCCTCCAGTGCTGGACTACAAGAGTGAACCACCGTGTCACACTTGCACACCCTTTCTTTAGAGAGCCCTCTCAGTGTACACCTGTCCCTTTCTGCTGAGATGGGAGTGTGTGCACATGAGTGTGTGGGTTCTCTGACTATGGGTGGGGATAGCCTCCCTGTTCCTCTGAGGAAATTGCTGTGGTATTTCCCTTTCCCCCTCCCCCTCCTCCTCCTCCTCCTCCTCCTCCTCCTCCTCCCTCTTCTTTTTCTCTTTCTTTTCCCATAATCACTGAAGTTTAAAAAAATTTTTTATATTAACCATTTTTAAATTTTTATAGTTTTTGAAAATGGAGAGTAAATTCACATAATATAAAAATTCAATATTATAAACATTAGAAAATGTATAATTCATTGGTTTTTAATATTTTCATCATTTTGCACACCAATCATCGGATGATGATACAGAATTTTAGAATGTTTCTGTTTCCCCCTTCTTCCGCAAATTTTCACACCCACCCCCAACATCGTTCTTCTCTCCATGATTGCAGTTTTATCTGTTCTGAGCAAAGCGTGTAAAGGCAGTCATGCAGCGTGGGACCTTTTGAGTTGCTGTTTCATACTTAGCATTATCAGATTTGTACTGTTCAGCCATCATCTAGTCTCGGCTGAATAATTCTCCATCGCATGGTCATGCCACACTCTCCATTAAACAGTGGTAACATTTTATTTGTTTTCACTTTTAGTAGTTGTGAAGAATGGCCTTCCTCTTTAATGATCCGTTAAGGACGTGGACCTGATGGTGGACAAACCACACGCTTGTTAAATGTTGCATTGAAGACCTACCCACCCCCTTCCAGGAGCCTCCTGTGCTTGTTGTACATTACTACCATCTTCCTTGGGGGAAGGGAGAGCAAAGAACAATGAACCATGCTTACACATAACCTGTTACTCATTGATGATTTTCTTCATGCACCCATAAGTAAAGTGTCTCCAAATTGCTGACTAGGTTAAAAGAATGTTATATTAGTTTGGCAACAAACAAATAAAATGATTTCATTAACTTTCAGTGCTATATTGCTGGGTAATGCATGTTAAACAAGAGACAAAGTATTTGTGCCTTTAATCACACTAACAATTTTCATGTTTTTGCATACATGCAGCCAAAGCAAAGGACTTCCGTTATAACTTATCAGAGGTACTGCAAGGTAGGCTATTGGAGATGCATTTTAAGTGTCCTTGCATCCATCTCTAAGACAGCATCCTTATTCTACTAACTTAGCTCTCTGCATCAGAGAATGTAAATGCTAGGACCAACTTCCCCCTTTTCAGGAAGGTACTGTATCTTCTGTTCTTTAAATGTTGCTTGAGTGCTATTCTATGCGTGTCTTAGCAATTCTTTAATTTTTCTAATCAAGGAAGGATAGTGTCTTCCTGAATTTTTTTTTCACATGTGTGTTCAGACTTCTGAACAGCAAAAATGGGGCAGGGCTCTGGGAAGAAACAAGATTGCTCATAGTTGTTCTGTGCCAGAATTTTCGCCTGCTCACAGGAAATCTTTTTCATGTATGTTGTATTAAAAAATGGAAACAATATGTCAACTATTTTCACCACTAAAACTGTATTTGTGAATGCTATTTAAATATTGCTGTACAGTATGTTATTTTTCTCATAGTCCTTGTTGTTAGGTGATGAATTTATTAAGTGTAACATAGTGCTCCTAATGAGAAAATACCCTTAACTGGTCAGCAGTGCTCAGTCAGTGTTCTGGAGGAGCAAGTCCAGGGTGAGCCCTCTTCTCACCCTATATGGTTTAGGCCTTCCCTCTTTTCTTAAGTAATGCATGGCCAGTTTTTAAGTGGAAGAAACACCATAAATTTTCCCTTGTAATTTCAGGAACCCTCCAGTTTTACACACTTTATGTCAAAACATTCTTCCTTTTTCTTTATGTTGATGGCTTGAAATTTTTGTTGTCAATTATTATTGTTAAATGTCTAAGTATCCAACTTTATTTTTTAAAGTACTTATGTCTGTGTTAATTTATTTACATTTGGTTTTTGCCTGAGGCTTGGGATCTTTTGCTTTCAATGTTGATAGTGCAGTAAAATTTCACACTTTGAGAACATTAAATTTTATGGAATTAGGTTGTTAGACTCTATAGGTTGTTGTTTTTCTTATATCTGTTAAAATTTTTACTTAAAATATTCTTAAGAGTATGATAAAATTGCTGCGACTGGATCTGAGTATTGCTAGCCCATTAAGGAAAATACCTTCTCAGTTGTATGCCTTAAAGTATGCTAGATAGGTACTTCCTGAATCTGTAAGTGATTTGCCCGTGAGTTTTGGGGTATTCATATGACACTACTTTGCAGGGATAAAAGAATAAAGCATCAGTAACATTTACGGCTGTTTGCAGACTGCAGTGAGAGGCAGCACCTTACTAAATTTGTTTTTGTTTTGTTCCTGTACCCATCATTTGTCTTCTATTGTAGGAAAGCTAGGAGTCTACGATGCGGACGGTGATGGCGACTTTGATGTGGAAGATGCCAAAGTTTTATTAGGCAAGTACATCTCTTTTTTTTGTTTTGTTAGAAGTAGACACTGAAATTAAAATAATATTTTTGCTTTAATGATATCTGTATTAATTTAACCAGTTTATGGAAGATATTTTGTTGCTGAATATTTCATTCTTGAGATAGTAAATGACCATCTCCCCATAAGACATTTCAAATTACTTTTAGAAACAGATGCTCTTATAACTCTTTCACAAAAAGTTTTAATAATTATTATTTTATTTTTGTTTCACATTTATAAAGTACTTATATTCTGAATTTAGTGTTTAGCGATACAATGTCCTAGTATATATTCAAATGAGGCACAGCTTTTTTTTTTAAAGCGTTATTTAACATAAATTACTTTCACTTGAAAATACAGATTTCTCTCATCCACATACTAACTTGACCCATCTCTGCTTAGCTTTCATAATGAGACAAGATTAGGCAGCATGTTCACGGTAGTATGGCCAAAGACAAAATGTAAATTTTGGAAAGGTTCACATAAATTAATCTTGAAATAACATCATGGCAATACATGTCTTAAATGTCCTATGTGTGTTTTCAATTTAACATTGAAATATGAACCAGTGGTCCTTTTATCAGATTTCCTTGTTCTGGAAATTGTGGGCTCCTCTTTCTCTCTTGGAATTACCTGTCTTAACTTATCATCGAGGTGTTTTTGTAATAAGGAAAGTTATGGTATTCATTTGTTTTAAAGTGCTGCCTGCCTTTTTGTTAGTTTCTTTTGTTTTTGTTTTTTTGAGATAAGGTCTTCCTGTAGCCCAGTCAGCTTGCCTAGAACTTGTTATGTAGACTAGGCTGGCCCGGATCTCACAGAGATCTACTTGCCTCTACCTCCAGAGTGCTGGGATTAAAGCAGGAGCCACCACACTCAACTTAAAATGCAGTCTTAATATAAATGATCCTGCTGGTTTTAATACACACATTTTATATACTCTGTCCTGGTGAGGGGTGTATTTCTGGTTTTAACCAGCATCATTCCCTTTTCCTTAGTATGAAGCTTAATATACATTAAAACTTTATATCAAATTATTTAGCAGAACAGTAGGTATGAACTAGTATTATATGTGCACTAAGCTTCATAGTGTAATAGCACAAAAAAGTACTGTTTTGTACTTTTCTTATTCTGTGTATTTGTGAACATAAAACAAGAAAATTACCACCTACCTGTTAGCAGCTCAACTGCTTTGCATGGATAAATCTCACTTCCTTTTAAACAATAAATATAAAATGGGTTTAGTAATGATCAACTTCAATAGAGCTTCGCTTCTTAGTCCTGTTACGGAGCATTTTTTTTTTTTTTTAATTATTGCTTAGTGAGAGTTAGTGTTTGCTGTTTATGGTGGGATATCGCTTGTAAAATTTTCATGAAATTCTCTGATTTAACTTTAATGGAATCATTATGTAATTTCATAATTTTTATATCTAAATCAGAGTTTGTATACATATATTATCTTCAGATGACCATAATTTCAGGCATATGAAAGAAATAAAGGCATATTCAAGTTAACATTAGGTTGATGGCAGTTTTCTTGCTCTAAGTGGTCTCAGTGCTCCCAGATACGACTTTACATGAGTTCTGAAGTGTGAAGATTTTTATTTTAAGGATAATTTCATATGAGCTAAGTTCCCTTGCTTTTAGAAATAAGTTTACTTCACATCTATTTTACTTTATTAATTTATATATTAATAACTTGACTTTGGCAGGTAGTTTGGATTTTCAGAGGTATTCCCTTTAAGGTTTTAAAATAAACATTAGGAGGTTAATTAATTGTAACATTGAGAATTGCTATTTGCAGATAGACACATATAGTATGAGCAAATCTTAATTTGTTCATTTTATAAGAATTGTGTTCAAGAAACTAAATCCCAGTGTGGTAGACTTCATGCTGGTAAGTTGATTAATAAATGCAAAAAGAAAGTTGAGAGAAGTCTAGGATAATGAAACTATTTTACCTCTCTCAGTTCATAGTTGGCTTATGATTTTTATAAAGGTGAACTGCTAGGCCCACTGTCACCTTGAACATATCATTCTGCACGGTTTTAATTATCTGCACCCAGTACAGCCTTAACTCAAATTGAAGTTCCTTTCTCACATGTGAGGTTATTAATACTTAGCTCTGCCTCAGTTATTTGTAGGTGTCTGTAGAGATGAGTCCTTTACAGCATGTCCTATGTCAACATAGAATTTATTCAGCTCTGTATGATCATGGAGAAGTTATGGAGCATGTGCCACTTATGAAGCCAGCTCTCTGGTACCTTTATTGGAATGGCAACTTAAATCTTAAGAACATGGGTTTTAGATTAAGGCAGGACTCTCAAGGTGAGGGAGGGATTGAGAAGGACAGAGATTCTTAAGAGGCACAGTAAGGTGTTAAACTTCTATAGCTCTGGCATTTATTTCAGAAATATTTCTAGCTTCTTAAATCTTAAATCATACCAGTTTGGGGACTGTATTTCTGAGTTTTACATTCCTTTCACATTTTAAGGTTTGACTTTTTCTGTGAAATATTAAATGAGTGAATAAATCAAGATAGCTTTACTAATGTTACTATTTTTGACTCCTCTTATTCACTTTGAAAATACACTAATTCTGCCCTTGGATATATAATTTCCCATTGTTGAGGCTAAATTGTCTTAGTGTGTGTTATTGAAACCTATGTTGCTTGGAAATACATTCTTTAAAATCTTGTTTATCGTATAACAGTCCATAGGAAGTGGTTTGAGGACTCATTGTTGAGAGTAATTTCTTACTGTAGCCTTGTCTAAGGAGTTCATGGCTGCCCATTTGTCCTACAACTAGCACCTAGCTGACACCATATTGGGTATGGCCCCAGCACAAAAGGGAAAGCAGTCTGAAACTCCTGTATCTGTAATAAATGTAGACCGGATAGACGTGTGTGAGGTCATAGGGGAGGAAGGGACTGGAACTTGCCCAGCCTTTAAGGCACAAGCATCCTGCTCTATAGTTGGGGCTTTCATTTAGCTCAGAGGAATTACATATTCAGAATAGTTTTACTCTTTTGACTATTATTCCTGTCTTAAGACCACAGAGGTGGAGCTGGGGAGATGGCTCAGTCAGTGACGTGCTTGCTGTACAAGCATGATGACCTGAATTCAAATCCTAGCACCCATATAAAAAGCCAGGTGCAGCAGCTCTTGCCTGTAATCCCAGCTCTGAGAAGGTAGAGACAGGAGAATCTCTGCACTTGCTAGCCAGCTACTCTAGCTCCCTGTATAGTGAGAGATCCTGTCTCACAGTATAAGAGGAAGAGCACGTGAGGAAGATACCTGGCATCAACCACTGGCTTCCACCCATGCATGCACATATATGTGGGTGCACACACACAGACATGTGCAACACATATACCACACACAACAAAGAACCACATGCATTTTGTGTGATTGAACAGTTTTGCCAAATATTTTTGTATATTTGTTGCATATTTCTACCTCATACTGAAAAGCAATAGTTTTATATTTTACATATAAAATAAATGTTTATAATACTTTGGGAACCAGAAAAATATAAGTATTTTTTCTAAATATCCAGCAATAGGTTTTAAGTCAGGGAGAGGAAATATTTTTCTCACAAAGACTTGGATGAAAATGCAGAGCTCTATTCATAACATTTGGAAACTTGGGTTGAGTGAGAAGCATCCTGGGCTCATCAAAAACAATTAAATACCTGCAATTCTTGTCCCTGCACCTCCTCTCGCCCATGAAAACTGACATGATATAGCTCTTCTGTTGATAGATAGATGCAGAGAAAATTCATGGTAATCTTTACAACTTTACTTAGCTGCCGTACTGTTACCTCTTACACGTCAGTCCTAATTGGTGGTGGTTGTGTTGCATGGAGAAATGGTGTGTTGTCAATCCTGAAACAACTAGACTGTGGCTACAGTGGGAAAAGCTCCATGGTAGCAGTGTCTACATTTCTCCCAGTCAGAACTTGCCACCTGGTTTTCTTTCTCAAAATCCTGGGATCTTTCAGTATACGGCGCAGGAGTGTGCACTGATTTGATAACCCCTGAGCCAAGAGTTTACCTTCCCTCCTCAGGCCATTTCCTCACAGGAAAGAAACATGATCATTTACACTTTGACTTCTTTTTATCAGGGGCCCTGTTTGGCTACAAGTTTAAAACCGACAGAACTCCAGAGTCTTTGCAGTAGATCCTCCTTCCATGGCTGGTGGGAGAGGATTTATGGATGCTCCTGCTGGAACTGGCTGCTAGGGTCTTCATCAAAGTTCTTATCAGTAGGTGGACAGAATTATTAGTAGCTGATTTTAATTATTGTTCAGCGTTAACAGTGCCATGAATCAGTTACAAGAGTACTATAGAACTAATTGTTTTATCCAAATTACCTAATTTGAGTGCCCAAATGCCCACACGCAGTGCTGTAGACTATAATGCCCCTGGTTCGATAGTTACAGAGTACCCTAACTTTACTCCAGGTAGCTGTGCTTGGTCAGTGAGCAGATCTGGAGGTTGTCAGAAGTATTCATCTTTTTCTCTGGTAGTGCTGCTTTTTACTCTTCCCATAGCTGTCTACTAAGTTTGGCTGATATATTTTATCAGTTTCCCACTCAATATTCTCCAATGGGAAAAGGGCACACCTGCTTATGAGCTGATAGGAACTCAAGATTGGTAGGGTTATTAAGACTTTATTGCCAAGTGTACATCTTAACTAATTTCTCTGTTTTCTGCAATATTTTTTTGTAAACCTCCGACCACAATGCACCTCCTTTTTGAGATCACTCTGCCTACGCTAATGTTTTCCACCTAACTACTCTCCTTTTCTCTCTCTCTTCCTTTATTCTTATGTAGGCCTGACCAAAGATGGCAGTAATGAAAATATTGATTCTCTTGAGGAAGTCCTTAATATTTTAGCCGAGGAAAGTTCAGATTGGTTTTATGGTTTCCTCTCATTTGTCTATGATATAATGACTCCTTTTGAAATGCTAGAAGAAGAAGAAGAAG